AGCGGGTTCGGCTGTAGCAGCACTGCTCGCTGTAAACGAAGCCTACAGAGACCGCGCAGCCCTAAATCCTGCACTCGCGATCATAGCCATAAACCCTCACAATTAAGGGTTTAGGGTTTAGGGTTTAGGGTTTAGGGTTTAGGGTTTAGGGTTTAGGGTTTACAACGACGCTAGGGTCTCCCGCGGCTCCGAGTTCAGAAGCTTCTTTGCACTTGGCTGCCGAATAGCCCCACTGGCTCTCGTCGTTGGCTGAAGCCGCAAAACCCTAAACCCTAAACCCTAAACCCTAAACCCTAAACCCTAAACCCTAAGCAGCAAAGGCAGCAGCGGCGGGACAAAGAAGCAAAATAAGAATCGCCAGCGAGAGCCAAAAGAAGCTCCAAAAAGGAAATAAAGAAGTTAAAACAGATTTATTTATTTATTTATTTATTTATTTATTTATTTATTTATTTATTTATTTATTTATTTCTCACCCTCGCCAGCATAGCCCTCCCTCGCAGCCGTCGGGCTTTCCACGTAGATCTGAGGTGTACAGACACCTCAACAAATAACAAAAAGGAATTATTAAAAGTCAAAACTTCAAATTAAAAGAGCTTTTAAAACCTCCAAACCCTAAACCCTAAACCCTAAACCCTAAACCCTAAACCCTAAACCCTAAACCCCAAACCCTAATGCTGACTCGGTTTTCTTTGCAGAGGAAACGCCAGAAGCGACCGAAGAGCGAAAGGCATTTTCCAAATAAATAAATAAATAAATAAACAAATAAATAAATAAATAAATAAATAAATAAAAGTAAATAAATAAATAAATAAATAAATATAAATAAATAAATAAATAAATAAATAAATAAATAAATAAGTTAATAATAAACGGAAATAAATAGATGAAAATAAATTAAAAAATGAATAACAATTAAGGGCAATCAAACAAAACGCAAAAACCCGCAAAGCAAAAAGGCGAAAACGAACAAACAAATAAAACAAAAACAAAAAATTAAATCAAATTAAATAAATTAAATAAACTAAAGTAATTAAATTAAATTAATTAAATTAATTAATTAAATTAAATGAATTAAATCAAATTAATTAAATTAAATTAATTAAATTAATTCTTACAGTTCCTGAGACCTCCCAGCCCTGAACTCTTGGAACAGTCAAAATGCTTTCGAAAAAGTAAAGCTCCGAGGCAAGTCCTTCTCGGTCTGCGTAAACCACAAATTAGGGTTTAGGGTTTAGGGTTTGGGGTTTGCAGGTTGGGGATGCAGTCTTTGCTTCAGCTTAAATGCTGCAGCGATTTGTCTTGACATCTGGGAAACGGCTGCAGCTTCCAGGGTTTAGGGTTTAGGGTTTAGGGTTTAGGGTTTAGGGTTTAGGGTACGACGTGTGAAGCCAGCTCCAAGCGGCGAGCGCAACCCCCCCAAAGCGCACCCTAAGTCGATCTTTTGCTTCGCCAATTCTTGCACCAGTCTAGCCCAAACCCTCGCCCTCTAGCCTCCCACCCCTAAACCCTAAACCCTAAACCCTAAACCCTAAACCCTAAACCCTAAACCCTAAACCCTAAACCCTAGAGCCTGCTTGCCTTGCTCGTGCTTGAGGGTGACGATGATGAAGTCGGTTTGGGGCAGAGGGTCGCACGAGGGTTTAGGGTTTGCGTCTTTGTCGAGGACTTCTTGCAAAAGTGCACAAACCATTTTTAGGGTTTGTTTTCCTTCCGACTTCATCAAGAGAGAAGGCACGGAGTAGTCGACAGCAGCAGCAGCAGTTCGCGGGCTTTCCAGCAGCAAAATCACCTCCGCTGCAACCACCAAACGCAAAACCCTAATTTAGGGTTTAGGGTTTAGGGTTTCGGCTTCCGGCTCTGGGCGTGCGCCGACATGCGCGCGCGCGCAGCCGGGCCCGGCTCGAGCACCCGCCCAGACAGGCGCCTCCACGCACCCGCAGGCGCCCAAACCCTAATTTAGGGTTTAGGGTTTAGGGTTTAGGGTTTGGGGTTCGCGACTGGCAAGGGTCGGGGCTGCAGTGAAGAGCTCAGCGAGGCAACAGAGAAGCAGAACCAGCCACCGAAGCGCTGAACCCCACACTGTGGCAGTGGTCAGCTTAGGGTTTAGGGTTTAGGGTTTAGGGTTTAGGGTTTAGGGTTTAGGGTTTAGGGTTTGAGGGTTTAGGGTTTAGGGTTTAGGGTTTAGGGTTTAGGGTTTAGGGTTTAGGGTTTAGGGTTTAGGGTTACGGTGGGCGTTGGGGTGTTCTTTCCTGAAGGCCTGCACGGCGTTAGCGAGTTGCTGCGCCTGTTCTCTGTTGCTGCTGCTGCCGGCCGCCCCCGCGCCCGAGGGCGCATGCTGCTGCTGCTGCTGCTGCAGCTGCTGCTGCTGCTGCTGCTGCTGCTGCTGCTGCTGCTGCTGCTGCTGCTGCTCGGGGAGGAACTCTGCGTCTGTGATGGACAAAAGGACTTCTTTGTCTGCGTCTCCTTGATTAGTAAATAAAAGTCTTCTTTTTAAAAAATAAGAAAAACCCTTTTTGCTGCTGCGCACATAAAAGGGGCCCCCCAAGCATTCCGAAGACACGAAGTTTGCTGCTACGGACACGGAGCTCACGGCCACGCTGCATGCAGCAGCAGCAGCGCCCTTGCTGCTGCTGCTGCTGCTGCTGCTGCTGCTGCTGCTGCTGCGGCCTCCGCTGCTGCTGCTGCTGCTGCTGCTGGGGACTCCCGCTAGGGTCACTTCGCCCCCGGAGCGGCTCGAAGTGCTCGCGCCGCTGCTGCTGCTGCTGCTGCTGCTGCTGCTGCTGCTGCTGCTGCTGCTGCTGCTGCTGCTGTGCGCGGGGGAGAGTACTGCTGCGAGCTGCTCGTCGGGCCCTGCTGCTGCTTCTAAAAGAGAAGTTTCTTTTTCATTTTCTTTTCCATTTCCTTTTTCTTCTTTTATTTCTTTCTTTTTCCTTTTCTGCTGCACCTCTAAACCCTCAGACTCCTTTGCAAACCCTAAAGAAGCAGCAGCAGCACCAGTACCCTCCTGAAGCAGCCCAGCTGGCCCCTGGGGGCCCCCCCGGGGGGCCCCAGGGCCTCCAAGGGGCCCCCAGGGGCCCCCAAAGGGTTTCGGGGGGCCCCCGAGCTGCTGCGGAGAGCTGCTGCTCTTTCAGGTGCAGCTAAAAGGAGAAAAAGAAAGAAAAAAGAAATTAGGGTTTGGGGTTTTGCCTGGCGGTTTAACATGAGAGGGTTTAGGGTTTAGGGTTTAGGGTTTAGGGTTTAGAGAATTGCGGAGAAGGAGGCAACAGAAGGAAAGAAAGCAGGCAGCTGTCGATTCACCGCAGCCTCGCCGCGTGCGCGGTCGGGAAGCGACGTTTTAGGGTTTAGGGTTTAGGGTTTAGAAATTAGGGTTTAGGGTTTAGGGTTTGAAATGAAAAAAGTGAAAAGAAAAAGAAAAAACTGAAGCTGCTCACTGGCGCCAAAAAGAGGAGTCGAGCACCTCAGACAATCGGCGTTGATCCCGAACCACTAAACCCTAAACCCTAAACCCTAAACCCTAAACCCTAAACCCTTAACCCTAAACTCTAAATTTCTCAAGGAAGGACTTCCAAAGAACAAAATGAGTCTATATTTCTTTTTTTATTCCCCTTTTTAGGGTTTATTGTTTCGGGTTTCCCCTCCTCGCCGAGCTGCCTGCTGTCACACGTGAGTGGGCCGGCTAGGGTTTAGGGTTTAGGGTTTAGGGTTTAGTGCGTCGGCCCGAAAAACACAAGTTTGACTCTCAATGAGGAGGGTTTAGGGTTTAGGGCTAACAGGATGGGGTCTAGGGTTCACACATTACGGGCTAGGGTTTAGGGTTTAGGGTTTAATCCCCAGCGCCGCACGACCAAAACCCTAGATCGACTGATTTGCATTGACTCGGCGCAAACCTCTAGTCGAGGGTTTAGGGTTTAGGGTTTAGGGTCTACGGGCCAGGGTTGCCGTGTGCGAACTAGGGTTTAGGGTTTAGACCCTCCGTGAGCTTTGGCCCCCAGCCGATCCCTTGCTTTCCGGCGAAACCCTAAACCCTAGAACCTGGACCCTAAACCCTAAACCCTAAACCCTAAACCCTAGAATTGAGTGTGTAAACTTCGTTTGTGCAGCAGCAGCAACGCTGCTGCTGCTGCTGCTTCTCAGGCTTTGCGTCTGACGTTGCGGACACAAGTTCTCGAAACCCTAAACCCTAAACCCTAAACCCTAAAAGCAGAGACACTTGTTGCTTCAACTAGGGTTTAGAGTTTGGGACTGCTCACTACCAAGTCGTTACGTAGCGTCTAGGGTTTAGGGTCTAGGGTTTAGGGTTTAGGGTTTCGGGTCTTGGACATCAAAGCTGCAACAAGAGTTTCTGTTCCCATCCAGTCTATCTATGTACACGAGGCGCAAACCCTGATTTAGGGTTTAGGGTTTAGCTGAACATTCTAGAGTAAATCTTCTTCTGCTGCTCCTTCTCAGCCTTAATTCGGGCCTCCAGCCGGTCCTTCAGCTGCAGCACAAACCCTCGACTTCAACCCTAAACCCTAAACCCTAAACCCCAGGCCCTAAACCCTAAACCCCAAGGTCTAAACCCTAAACCCTAAACCCTAAACCCTAAGCCCTGACCTTTAAGAAGTCCGTGTCCTCAGGAACAATCTTGAGCGCCTTTTTCACATCCGCCTGTTCGCACGCCCTCAACCCTAAACCCTAAACCCTAAACCCTAAACCCTGGACCCTAAACCCTAAACTCTAAACCCTCGACCCGTAAACCCTAAACCCTAAACCCTAAACCCTCACCAGTCCATTTGCGTATTCTTTGAGACGCTCATTTGCCACGGCACGGCGGTAAAGCGCTTTCACGCACTGATCGCTGCAGCCCAAACCCCAAACCCCAAACCCTAAACCCTAAACCCTAAACCCTAAACCCTAAACCCTAAACCCCAGACGTAAACCCTTTCTTTTTTTTTCAAACCGCTACAGCCCACCCCCCTGCCCTTGCCGCCGACCCCCAAACCCCAACCCCCACCGGG